CTTAAGAATGTTAACCCTGTCCTTGTAATAATCATGCCATGATATGATTGTAGTAAAAAGCTAATCCTAAAATCATTTGATAAGGAAAATTTCTAACATATATTTCTTCTACTGGATAAGGTGGTGTGCAGTGATTATTGTCTATTTCAAAAAATAAGAGACTATTATGAATTGCAGTGTCGTAGGTGTAAGTACTACCATCCATTTGCCTTGCAGTTCTAATATTATATGCTTTTTCATAATATTTTTCTGGTATTAATTCTTGTTGGATAACTATATTACTTGCTCCTGTATCTACTATTGCTAAAACTTCTGTATCAAAGTCTCCTATTATTATTCTAGTTTTTATTTCAATGGAAGTTATCGTTGGTATCCCTGCTTGTAATAATTCAGAATCATAATTATGTCTTATTAATTCTGGAAAAATTTCTATATCAGCATTCTCTATATATACTTCCCTTTCTATCGATTTCCCTTTATCAAATTTTTCTATTTTTTCCTCTAATTGTTCTATTTTATTTTCTAAAATTCTTATTCTTCTTTCTAGGTAATATTCTAAGGGCACAGTGTTTTCTGTTTTATCCTTTTTAACTGGTTCTAATAAAACGTATATTTGTGCTAATTTATCCAAGCAAAATTTACATCCTTCTGTATAACATAATTGACATTGGAATCTTAATTCTATTGCTGGGTATCTATTACAATTATAACAAGCTTTACTATAATTACCTTTTCTGTGTTCCCATTTATGAGTACATTCTACTTCTACTAGATCTAAGTCATCTAATTTTTTAAAATCTTCTTTTATTTCTTCTAGGTATATGTTATCCATAATAGTTCTATTTTCTGATTTTTCTAGGATTTCATTTATGAATCCTGTATCTTCTTGTTCTATAAAATCTGTTAAATCCATCTCTTCTGATACTATACTATAAATGCTTTCTGTTTCTAATATATTGTCATCTATTTCGATTAAATCTTCTGAAAATAATTCTACTAAATGAGCTTCTTTGTTAAAAGAATTATGTTTATTTGGGCAATTGGTTGCTAAATGGTTAGGTTGTTTACAAATAAAACAAGATAATCTATTCCCATAGGTACGTTCTGGCCTATATCTTCTAACATGATGTTCCTTTTTAAGAAATGGTTTTCTAGCTTTGCTCTTCCGAAGATAGTATTGTTTTCTGGGGTACTTTTTATAATTTTTATAAGGTTTTCTATACTTTCTTTTTTCTTTTTCTCTTTCTCCATATTTTTGTGGTGTATATATTTCTGAGCAAAAACTATATTCCCCTTTTAATTATCTTTGTATTTTAATAAACGTACATTCCTCTACTAATCTATTAATTATGAATCTTATAGCTGTACTTACATTTTTTAGTGTTGGTTCCATAGGTGTTTCTTTATATAAAGTATATATTTTCTTTCCTAGATCGTCTGGTAATTTAGCAAATAATTTTTCTATAATTCCTTCATCATAAAAACATCCCGCTAAACAGCTATGATATAAGAAATCTTGTAAAAATGGTTTAATATATTTTCAATTTCTAATAGATAGTTGTTCTATTTTTCTTATAGATTCTATTTGTGTTAGAACTCCTCCTCTATTTGGACTTGTTGCTAAAAGAATTTCTTCTACTCTATTAACAAAATTCATGGGATTTACTCCATGCACCTGGTCTTGTTGTAATTTATCTGGAAATTTTTGTTTAAATGCTTCCCAAGCTGCTCTTGCTACTCCTCCTAGAAATGTTTCTAAATACGTATACATTTCTGTTACATTATGATCAAACCCTTTTTGTATATATTTCCTAACTACTCTTGCTTTCCAACTACCTATTACATCTTCTATCATTTGGGGGTCATAGGATGTTAACATTAAAGTCTTTCCTTCATCTACTGAATTTTCTTTTATTTCTAATTCTAAAGGTCTTCTTTTTCCTCTAGGATTATATTTTTCTTCTGGTTCTCTATATTCATTATATATTATTCTAGGTGGTTGCCCTGGTTCATATGTTCTAACATTCCCTGCTTGGCTAGTGTCAGTTTGCATGTTTGTTGGTTGATTACTTCCACTGCTTTGTTCCATTAATTCTCTATATGATGTTATCCTAACGGTTTCAATATCATTTTCTTCTTTTTTAACTCTAATATTTCCTATGTAGTCATAATATAGAATTTCATCTAAAGTTATTTGTCCGTTTAATTCTAATTTTCTTTCTAAATCAAATAATTCTTTTTCTGTTAAAATCATATTTAATTCTGCTGGATAAATAATTTTATGTTCTAGTTCTACAAGTTCTTCTTCTATCAAATTTATTTCTACTAGATCTAACTCTGTATCTGATCTTTCTGCTTCTCCATTTTCTATTCCTAAAGATGTTGATTCATAATTATAGAACCTAATACTTGTTTTTCCCTTACTATTTTTATATATTATACTATCTTTTGGTATGATTGGATTATTTTCTTCTATAAATTTACTAATTTCCCATTCTTCTCCTGCCAAATTTTCTGAACTTACTTCTATTGGTTTTATTAATTTTATTCCCTTACTAGCCATAGCCTCTACTATTGGTTTAATATCTACCTTGTATCTGGTTTTACTGCTATTTGTTAATCTCCCTATAAATCCTATGCTTATTGTTAAATTATCTCCTTGAAAATTTTTCATATCCTTTAGTTTGTATGCCTATTTCTAAATTTTTAATATCTTCTAAGATTACCATAAAATCTGGACTACAATAAAATATTCCTCTATTTTGGTTCATATCTACTTCTATACTGGCTATTAATGCATCTTCTACTGTTTTATGTCTTTTATCTAATATTGCTAATAGTACCTTTTTTCCTAATCCTTTTCTTGTTAAACCCTTTATTCCTATAACTATTAACCCTATATGCATATATGTATATTGTCTTCTGATTTGATTTATACTTTGTTGTGTTATTATTCTTAGATTTACTGGATTTGTTAATGCACTTACTGGCTCTTCTCTAGTTTGTCTAAATAATCCTGTATTACTTTTAAGAAATCCTACTGAATATAAAGTTCTCGGATTTAATGAATTTATTTCATTATTTCTATATATTTCTAAATCTCTTTCTATATGTATTGCCTCTTCTAAATGCATGCTCCTATTTCTTCTTAACTGTCTTCCTATGTTTAATACACCAGTTCCTATTTGTGTATTTTCATTAACTGTTCTACTGGGTCCTGTAAATGAGCTTCTACTCGTCATTTTAAAATTTTTGTGGTTTGGGGTTTACTGAGAATATGTTACTAAGATGTGGCTTATTTTCTTTCCTTGTTACTGGTAGTCTTTTAAACTGATACGTAATCTCTTCCAGGTCCTTTTCAAATTTATCTATCTGCAAAATCCTAACTTTTTCTGTTACTGCATCTATTTTCTTATGTAATGATACTAACAAGGCTATTATTACGTTATTTTGTTTAGGATATGTTTTATCTGATATACTAGTTCCTAAGTAATCTGTTAACCCTAATGTTTCCTGGTGATAATATTTTAATTCTTCTAATATTTTTATATATTCAGGATAAAAAGCATACTGAGAAGGAGGTGGTTTATTAGTACTGCTCATATATTAACTCAAAATTATTTTTTCTATTTTATATAATAATATTTCTACCTGATTATAAGATTGTTTTAATTCTTTTGATTTTTGACTAATTTCTTCTAATATTTCGTTATGTGTGTATAAATATTATATATATATGTATATATATACATATATTATATGTATGTATGAATGTGTGTGTGTATATATATAGACCCACATATTATACACTATTGGTTACCTATATATAAAAGGAACTCGCGGATAGAGCGAGCCACATTCTCAAGTTAAACCATGATTGTTTTTTCAAAATTAAAAGAAAAAAAGAGTTAATTACATTTACCTCCCTATGGCTTGACTAAATTATCAAACCAACCCTGTGATTTGGCCAAATTACAATCACCAACTTATAAGTGATCGATGGCATTCAAAGCCGACTAATGGAAGCAGAGAAATGACATAACTGCCCTTTGCTAAAATTATATTTATCTCTCTTGAAGTTTGTCCAAATTATAAAAAGGACCCTATAATTTGACCTGATTGCAATTTAACTTTTGAATAGCCAACTTTATAAGAAAATCTCTTATTGTGATCCAAGAAAAAAAAAAGCCCCCAAAAACAATCGATTACATTGCTAAAAATAAAAATAAAAAATTGAGAAAATTTATGCCTAAGACTTATTTTAGCTGCTACAAAGCTCTCTAAAGCACCTTTCCCACACAACAATTATCCAGTTTATTTAAATATATAATTTGGTGTATAATAAAATTTAGCTACAGTATATGGTTTTTTATCCATAAAATAAAATTTATTTGTTTATCCTTAATTATAGATAAGTATTTTGTTTTGAACTTTTACTTCTGATTTTTAATTTTTTTCTTTGAATAAAAATTAAATGCTTCTAGGTGCATTTAAAATAAATATTTTCTTTTCTTTTTTAGAAAATAGAGTTTAATTATTTGCCCATTGATATGGAAAAAGGTTTTCAATATAATAAATGTAACAGTAGTAGCTAAAGGTATTGTATCAGTGATCAAAATAGTATTCTTTGTGATCCCATGTGACTAGGATTTTGGTTGTGCTGACTATAAGTTAGAGCGACTAAAAGATGATCGGGAAAAAAATAAATATTTGCAATTATCGGGAATATTAAGATTTTCATCAAAATTTTTGTTGCAATTGATGCAACTAACTAGTGAAAATGTTTATCTAATAAATGATTGACCATGCAAAGCATTGGACTGATTTGGACAAAATATGTGCTCATTATATATCATTTTGGACAAACCTCAGGGAAAGCAAATATAATTTCGATAAACCTCAGGAGAGGTTACAAAAGGGTATTTTGGGGGCTTTTAGACATATAGTTTGCTCATACAGGCACTATTTCTAGCGGTGGTTAATGTGAGAGGGGTATTTGATAAACGTTTTGGCATTCTAGGAGTTTGACTGTAATTTGGTCAAACCACAAGGATAGCAAATGTAATTAACTGCAAAAAAATGGTCAAACCATTATTTGTCATGGTCCAAGGTCCACGTTCCCAGGACAAAAGGAACGAACAACTTCAACCTCGACTTTGCATAAAATTGATCTTGCAGTTGAGGGTTGACATTAAACATTAATCTCATCAATCCGTGAATAATTATCGTGGCAACTCTGCATTGATCAAGATTCTTGCGCTACAAGGTGAAGGGTAGATCCAAGGTTTTTTGCTAGTTCTTTGGTCGTCATGTTGAATTCTTTCTCCAACTACAAAACATTTCAACCCTTCATAAATAAAGTGATCTGTAAAATTTCAACAATTAAACTGAGCTGTAAAATAATTCTTCTTGTCTCACCTCGGCAATGATCGTAACTTCAAGAGCCGAATTTCCGAACGGCGTTACGCTGGTGTTGGTAACGGCAAGATTGAGGTTTTCTACCTTCGAAAGTAATTTTATCAGCACTCCTGGTTGATGATTTTCACAATGGACTTTTAGCAGAACCTCCTTGTCGCAAACTTTGGCTTCAATTTGAGGGAACAGTAGCTGATTATTATTGTTGCACCCCCTTTCATCTGAAGATACATCATCTGCAACCAGACGTTGTGATTTCTTCACAAGAACCACGGATTCCACGGTTTGCTTTGTGACTTGTTCTTCCAGTGTCTTTACTTTCTCCTGAAGATGTTTCAACTGGTTTATGGCATCTCCAAGAACTGAAGTTTTATCCATCTGCAAGAAAGATATGAGATGATAGCAACCAAATTAGTCAAGAAGATTATTACTACTAGTGTGTCTTCAAAAACAAATTTCTTTAAGCTACTTTACTTTTTTTTTTTTTTTTTAAACAGGGATGGGATGAGGATTAAAAAACATGGAGGTAAAAGGCGGATTTAAACTCAAAATCTTTAATTTTTGGAACAGCACTTTAATCACTAGACTAAAATCTCCTCAAAATATCTTATGAATCACCTAAATACGATTAGGAAAATGTTCAAAACTGGATGTGAAATATCAGATGATACCTTCTTGAGGCCAGGAAGTATGGAAGAAAGAGACGAGAATAGCAGGCCCAGATGCTTGCGTCGTTTTCTTTCTGCCATTATGTGATCGTACGTTTGGGAAGGCGACCTGGTACGACCCCCAGTTCTCTTTCCTCTTTTTTGAATTCTTGTGGTCCTATGATCAAAGTTTACAAATGAACCATTGGACGACAGAACATCACAGACCTTATTCTCGCCAGGGTTCAATGTTCCAAAAGTGAGAAGCATCGGAGAAGAAGAAGGTTGATCAAAACTAGAAAAGTTATAGACGGTTGACCAGCTACAGCCATTTGGGTTTTGCAGTTGGGTTGGTCTTTCAGTTACTATTGGAGGGGCTTCTATTGCTGCAGATACACATAATCTGGTAGCGGAATTGTTTGTTTCAATGATAGGGAAGATAGAGGAGTTGCCTTTCGTAGGCAGATCACAGTTATGTAAATCGTCTCCAAATGCACCAAATAAGTCTTCTTCAAAAGGGTTCATGATGTCACACTGGTCACCGAGAAAATGGTCCTCCATTTCCTGAAGATACAACCAAAATCGTATAAGGACTTGAAAATCATCAACAGAGGATAAGCACTAATTCGTTTGTCAGCCACGACTCAAAAGGAAAATTATATTCAGATTGATTGAGAAAAAAATAGCATAACTAAAATTTGTTATTCATATTTGTACCAGCTGGTTTAAGTTCAAATTTCACAAATCGTGGATGGGATGAAGAGTGATGATATACCCAGGATTAAAGTTCCAAGATAGTATTCGTAGATTCTCATCCAATCTAATTTGATTACGTGAAGTTTGGTTAGTATTGAATTACTCTTGAGAATCTATGAACAGTGACCAAAATTGATTGGATCCCTCGTTTGGAAAGTATATGACAAATTAATTGGTAAGCATGATATATTCAAAGCAACTTTAGAAAGGACAAATGTTTTCTTAGGGTAAACCATGTAGACCCATAAACCACCAACCCCAAAATATAAGTACGGGAGAGTTTTGTACACACTATCATTGTATATAAAATTTAAATTTAAATTAGGTGATATGCATCAATACTTGCTATTGTATACACAGTCAATATATATAAAATTAAACGTTAGTAATTTTATGTTCTGTCATCTCATAAATCAAATGGACGATGCTCAAGATAACAAGAGTACGAACACAGAACATTTAAGCGTGACAAGCAATAACTCAATATTTATGTTGCTCACCTTCCGACTTGAACTTGGCTTATTCGATCTAAGTGCGTGCTACAAGAATTTTAATTACATAAATTAATTACTTCAGGAAAGAAAAAGTTATTATGCGACAAAATCACAAGGCAATACCATCTCAACACAGTAATGCACTAGCCTCAATATATTTCCACTCTCGAATGCTACTAGATATGTATATAACATACTTTTCTTTCAAATACTAGTAGACTAATCATAAAAACAAATGTTAATGCAACACTGGATAGCAAACATTGGAAGCTATTGTTTAATTACGGTCGGGTAAGAACCGTACTCGCTTATCTAAGTCCATTATCACATGTATCATCCGAAGCTTTGAAATTATTGTCTCAACTTAATTATGTTCTAATCTCCACAATCTGTTGACAAGCATACTTATGTTTGAAAGTGGAATACTAAATAAGGGCAACAATGCCCATGAAGCCGATGACATGTCATCTCAACATTGAAGCTAACTGATGTTATTACGATGGTTAATATGTCAAACACGGACAAAGGGCAATCACGTTGTTAAACAGGACAGACAAAACAATTTTCTTGAATTATGACATGACAATAATGTTATCCAGCAAAGTTCTTACCTGTGCAGAGAACCATGATGATGCTGAATTGTCCATCAAACTATGAGAATCTAGTGAGTGGCAGTTGTTCCGAAAAAGTGTGTACTACAAAATTAAGAGGGAAAAAATGGTTAATAACGATAATCAAAAAAGTGACAGATCCCAAAATAGAAAGTTCACTGATAAAGTGTCAGAATAAAGGATCTTCTTCTCACCTGAGCTAAGGGCTTCCCCTTTGAAAAGCTGCTAAGGAAGATGTGGCTTCTTATATAGAGTGGAAGGTTACATGCCAATAATTGAGTTCATGTAAATGTTCAAAGCCATGACAATCTACACATTCATATCAACGCTACAAAATGAGCCTTCTGCACTCTATTCTCATTTTACGAGCTTTCTACAATGGAGTGCAGAAGGCCAAGATCGGGGCGGCAGGCATCACACTCTCGATCATTTAGCGACAGATGGTGACCATTTATGTAGCTTATTTTGAGTGGAGGGGAATTTCGGAAAATCTTTTACCAGTTGTAGAGAAATAGAATAATTCAGTGGTAGGGTGAGAATTCCACCGTTTTGGAAGTAAATGGTTTGGATTCTCTTTTGGATGAACCCCACAAAAGTGATGTAACCTGGTGATGAACAGCGCATGACATAATGAATGTGTATTTACCCTGTTCATGCGTCTATATGCTCTTGTTTTTGCCTGTCTACCTTTACTCTTTTTTTTTCTCATTCTTTTTTTTTTGTTTTTTTTTTGTTTTACGTTTATTTTGTATAGTGCAAGTGATACTGACAGTCGAATGTTATCGAATGGGTAGACCAAAAATATGTTAGCAAATGACTTGACTTAATCGAGGATAAATTCTTTGTTATGCTGATAGATGAATGGACATCTTTGAAAATTCTTCGTGGCGTTCTTAATTTGTGATATAGACTTGAAAGATTTGGGTAGAACAAAGTTAATGCTAAAATTTGTAGGACTCCTCTAGTTATTTGAAAAAAATTCTACAATGTTCAGGAAGGGGATAGCTGTGGGAAATTTTGGACGGTACTTCCAACCATTTTCCATTCAGTTTGTGAAAGCAAATATTTTCCAATTTCAAATTTCCCTTCTATTTTGTCTTTACTTCAAATTTTGAAGAAATCAAATAAGAAAAAGTTATTGACAATTGAGCAAATCATTACATAAATAACTACTCCAATTAGGTTTAGAAAAATAATGAAGTAATAGACATATAATTTTGACAATTACACACGTATAACTTAAGTTCTGCACTAAATTTCTCAAGCTTAACTATGTTTTTTTTTTCTTACACCTATAAGTTAGTTATATTTAACCCCTAATTTTTAGACAATCAGGAGACAGTAAAAAAATATAACCAACTACTAGTTGGCCACCACCAAGAAATTTAAAGCCTCCTTGGGTGTAGATCTCTTGGTTTGCATTTTTCTTCAAGATTTTTTGAAAATTTCACCGGTCGACGAATAGGCACTTGTCTGGTTCAGTGACGGTCCAGGTTCTCCATTGATCCCTTTGAATCCACCCCTTTCCCCTAGTGTATAGTAGGAATAGGTATAGAAATCAAATTATAGTGTCGACAAAAAAAAATGAGAGAGACTAACAGTACTTCCAATTTAATTGGCTCAGTGGTGAGAAGAGGGTTTTTAGGGCTCTTTCCACTGTCAGATTCAGAATTTGAATATTAAATTTAACAATTGGGAATGGAAAAGACATAAGAAGGGGTGGGACAAAAAAAAGAGTACATGAGTTTAAGTGCATTAGCAAAAAAAATCAGTGCAAAAATTCATTATTTAAGACTGCATTTGAATTGAGGGATTCAATGAAGAATTTGAAAATCTCTCTAATTATTTAGATTATTTAGGAGATATTTGGATTTGTAAATTATTAATTATTCTTGCGTTGAATATGTATTTAGATAATTAATGAATTATAAAACTAAATGCCTCTTAGGCAATCCAAACAACGACAGCAATTTGGATAAATTTCAAATCTTTCATCAAATTTCTCAATTAAGCAAAACCAAATGCCTCTTACATAATTTAAACCTTACGTGGGAAAAGGGAGAAAGAGGAGATCTTGAGAATCAAATTATGAATTTCTAGGTCATTTAATTAATGTTTCTACCAGTTGAGTTAGATCTGGGAAGAACTTCATCTATGCTATAAATTGCTCAAAGCTACTTTTTGTGTTATAAAGTGTTTATAGAAAGAGACACTTGTTGATTAACTATCTTCCGTCATTATAAGTAGGGTAAATTACATATAACTCCCTATAATTTCATCTATGGTCACATGACCACGTAACATTTTAATATGTCCATTTCACTCCTTAGGATTTTATGTAAAGTAAAAATTTTATGAAAAATAGCCTATGTAATGTTTTTAATTAAAATACTAATAGTGCTCTTACTTAAATGTTAAATCAATCAACGGCTTAACTACCTTGTATAAAAGTATAAGGGAATTATGTCGATAAATATAAAAATTACAGAGGGGTAAAGTTGATATTTATACAAATCATAAGGAAGTTACGTAAAGATTAAGGTTTTATCACATGCGCTTTTAGAGCTTTTTTGGTAAAAACGTCGTAACTGATCATGCATTCTGTCCATTTTTTATTTTATATAAAATCATAGGAAGATTACGTGGCTATTTTGAAATTTTAGGGAGATCATTCGGCATTATGCAATATCACAGGAGGGTTATAAGTAATTTACCCTTATAAAATACATATACCTACAAAAGAGGATTGGATTGGGTGTTAAAATGAGAGAGATTGTATATAGGAGATTTTAGGTTATAGACCTCCTAGTTACCCAAAAAAAGAAAAAAAATACATATACCTACGTAACTATCGAAGCCTCTTCAAAATGGTATAGCGGTTTCTACCATTTCTTTGGTATTAGACTGACACAATGGTACATGGTATTCTGACTCACATCAAGTCAATAGGAACCAAAGGACAATTGACAAGGCTGACTTCACCTTGAAAATGAAGCACAAAATAAGAGAGTAGAACTAAAAGATTACCTACCGGTAAGCTGATAAAGAGGTGGGCTGAGAATTGCATCACATGATAGGCAGGTCATGAATGTGAATGTTTAGTTATATATTAAAATGATAATATTTCAATAAAAAAAATTTGGTCTCCAAAATTTATAATTTTAAGCACATTTAGAACAATTGATGGAACTTAACATTGATTAACAGTCAAAATCATTTTAGCAATAAAATCCTATTTCAATTTTTCCTATACTATAGCCTCTTAATTTTTGTTCTGTATATCATATGTGTATTATTATTCAATTTTAACTTAGTTAATGAAGATATACTTTTTAGCTTAAATGATAACGTTGTGCCTATATTATTCTATATAGAGTACATAGTGGTTAACGACACTATGTTATCTAATTTGAATTATTTATCTATAGAACCAAAAAAGTAAAACAATCAAAATATATTTCATAAAAAAAAAACTATAGTAGGTCAACTACATATAACCAAGAGACATTTAAATTACTTTGAACTCGTGCTAAATTGCTCCTGTAGTGGGGGCACAATTTATTTATTTTTCTCTGTTTTATGTCTATTAAATCCAAAGTTTCAATGGAAAGTTTTAAAATAGTTACTTTGCTCTTTGTTTACTTTAATATTTTACCACAACCCTCCCCCCGATTACCTTAAGAATTTTATTGAATGATTCAAACAATTATACAAAATATTAATTTCATCTTAAATTCAATTGATAGTCTATTAAAATTGAAAACAAGAAAACAAATCTGATTTGCTTATAGTTCATATTCTTTATAGTTTGAATGGATATCTAATTGAGCGTTTAAATATCAATACAAGTAACAAAAAAAAAAAAAATTCATTATCAATTAATTCTCCATAATGCAAAAGCATGCATACATATATAATGCTACATTTGGGACCAGTCATGCAACAGTAAAAGTCTATGAGAAACAAGTAGGATGAATACACAAAATAAAAGAATAAAAGAAAGAAGTTTCCTGAACCTTTGCACATTTTCAACATAATTTCAATCTAATTTGCATTTCTTTTCCTTTGAAACCGTTAATATCACTATTTAAAATCTAAGATACCATGATGATCCAAATTTGAAACATTGCTATAAAAAATGCAAAGTCAAAACTATTCAGTAGTGGCAACTTGACTTTGATCTTTAATCATCATTTTTTTCGTCAATTTACTAAATATGCTTAAGATTTGAAACACTGGGACCAAATTTATTTTGATCCAAGCATTAATGATCAGTCCTACACACATGCAGAGTATTATAAACAAGAATCGTATTTCTTCCAAATTTTGGATATATGTTATGTATTGATTTAAATTACAACTTTTAAACTTATCTTCTTCATAATGGTTGGTTAGTGATAATTTAGTTTTAATATTATTGTGATATCATTTTCTAATAAAGTGGAGGTGATTTGTCACTTAATCATAAATTTTTATCTCCTTTTGCCTAAAAATATGTTCAAGTTCGGGAGTACCAATAGTAAAAAGTTTTTATGTTATTTGAAAGAAAATTATTCATTCATTAGTAAATTCAAGCATGTCATCTTGTATTATATTATCCATGAAAATATATGGAATACTTTTAATGTGAAGATTGTTTGTTGTCCTACTTTTAGAATAGACAATAAGCAGTTATATTTTTGTATTTACACCTATTAAAAACATTTCTTAACTGTATCACTACATAATTTAATTAATACGAATATTTGATTTCAAGCATGTATACATTAGTACAAATAGCATTAGTATTACTAGTGATAAAGGGCGCACTCAATCTATGTACAATTTAAACAATCACTTTTTATATGGAAGAAATTAGTATAAAATTTTAATAAACAAAAAACTTTGATCTTTTAAAAGTTTTTTTTAATATTATTTTAATGAACTTGGTAATTATAATGTTTGCGGTTGGTTATTGGCGAAAGTTAGTTGTGGTATTGGTTGACAATACATAAGCAACATGTTAATTAGATGATAAAAGTATAATTAAGTGATGGATTAATCTTTCTTACACTGACAGTGTATACACTATCAACGTTTGGATGAATTACAAATATGCAAAATTTGAATTTAAAATTCAACTTTTACATATATGTCATAGATTCAATGGTGATAGTGTATACACTGTCACTGTATATAAGATTTGCTCGTAAGTGATTGCGATGATAATGCTGAAAATTTAAAAGTGACAAATATGGTCTAATTAAATTTCACCTATACGCACTGCAGTTATTATGTCATCAATTCATTCTCATTAATTTGGTCTAATACCATTACAAATGCATTTTTAAAACATTTCTTTATGTTCTACCGGCAAATATAAAAAACAATCATGCAACAACATATTACTTCTGCTACAAATATTCCATCTCAACTAATTAATTAAC